TCAATCCATTCTGTTTAGTCCCACTAATCTTTACTTTCTCTCTATTCATAAGTTATAAGACATGAACATACATGAGAACTGCTCGTGCAATGGCGAGGTCATCTTCACCTGGATAACACTGCAAAAAAGTATTCAAGCGATAAAATACATATATTTAGCCACAAGAGGTCAAATTAAAATCCAGATCTATCCCAGTGCAAAAGTTTCTCTACACTAAAACTTAACAACTAACAGAGAAATAAAGAGAATGAGATAATTTGATATGAAAGAGACAGACCCTTCCCATAAAGTTGATCAGCATAGATGCAAACTTCTCGGGGTCCTCAGCTCTAACAAAATGCCGTGATATTCGGACCATGTCCTGATAGATAAATATACAGAAAAGTCAGTTAATGAAAAAAAAAATGAAATGTAAAACTATATAACCAAATGGGCTACAAGAGGATTACGAGTTCAGGACACTCGGTGTAGAGATAATCGCCCAGCATAGCATGCAACTCAGGATATCCAGTACTTGGCCCTCCAAACTCTGCAGACCATCTAAAACAAAGACAAAAACAGTAGTTTGAAATTACTACCTCTATTTAACTTCAAAATGTACCAGCTGAATAAGAGAACTAATACACGTGCTCTGGCTTACTTTATAGCAGCTCTCAAGAACGAAGTCAAGTAATCTACTCGTGATCTGGCTTCCCCAAGAGATTCCTGAATATTCTGGACATCTTCATCATCGCTAACATCTACCAAATGAGGCGGTACAGGAACCCGAGGAAACAATTTGTACATAGACCTGATACGATCTGACACAAATACTTCAGTATAAACAAGAAATAGAAGGATGGGTTTTAGCAATTATACAAGTTCTATACTAACCAAGAGTTTCATCATTGCAAGGTGACTTGGCTTTAACTAGTGTGTCGACAAACAAAATAGCGAGGTCCGCTCCACAATTCACCTGATGATATAACAAAGATTATGCCTTGTTTAAACTTTGTGATTAAAAATCATTCCAGGTTCCAAGAACAAGCCTATACGTAATAACAAAAGACGGAAAAGCCAACGAACCAGGCCGTGCTCTAGCTCAATACATGCCCCTGAAAAGAGGATATCAAGAGCTTCAGAGAATCTCTGAGCCGTAACATATCTGCAAAGCAAAAAGACTAATAATTTTAGTTATCAATTATCATAAAAATCCAATTTTCAAAACAATCACCAGAAAAATCCAAAAGGGTCAAAATGCAGAATCCAAGTAAATAAATAAGAAAAAAGGATAATTTGGGTTTATTAAGGAATCGGAGATGCGAACCTTGCACTGATAGATTTATACATCTGCAACGCTCCATAGTAATTACCTTCCTCTACCACTTTCCGCAATTTATCAATATGCTATAACAATTCGGAGAAGACAAAAAAACCCATCAAATTTCGATGATACGAATCGCAAGGTAATAGAAAAAAGAGAGAATTTGAGAGAAATTTTTGTCGCGAGTAGAAGAGAACCTCTTGAACGGGAGGCAATTCTCGTTTGATCCTCTCTCTCGACATGGATCGGAGTTTTTTGGGTTGTTCGATTTCTGGGTTGGTTAATAAATCTGCAGATAGATTTGATATCCAAGTACGGAAATTAAACAGAAATTGTGAGATGCGTGACGTCTTTGCGGATTTTTACCCTAACTAAAAATACCTTAATTTTTTTTTTTTTTTTAAGGAAACAAACCCAAAATTCATATACTATTCTGTTTTAAAAAGTTTTATGGAAATTTCTATATTAATTTATCTTTCAAAAAGTTTGTGAACAACTTCCATGCGCCAAAATGCTTTCTACGAATTGACCAATATTCTTGAATTCATAAGAAAAACATGCGTTGTTCTAGTTATCATTATTATTTTTTCTGCTTCAACGAATCCAAATCTGAATTCAACAAATTAAGCTACGATAAGTTTATTTTGTTTGATTCAAGTCTCGGATCAGAAGATTAGATCAGATCAAAGTAGTTTAGTATACAAATAAGGGCCACTGATATATGTTAGTATGATATCCTTAAAGGAAATATCAATTCAAATGACAAATCTGTGGAGGTTTATCCATATGACGTAAAACATACAATATCATAAGAGTGAAAATAATTAGATGCTTTGCAAAATCTAATAGTCTTGAAGAATTCAATAACATCCATTACATTAATTTAGTTTTGAATACAACAGTCCAAAAATAAAACCCAATTTAAAACAAAATATCACAAACATAACTCGAAAGTTTTTCATTTTATGAAAAGTTTTTTTTTTATTAGATATTTCATAGTCATCGAACTTCAGACACATAAACATTGGACTAGGATTTCGGCTCAAGTTGCAGATACGATTTTATTTTGGTAATTAGATTGCAAAGTACATTGTATTTAGATTTCTAGAGATCCTCTGGACTTGTTTACATACATATGTTTGTAAACCTTTCTTCTTGAAATATATCATGTTTAGTAGACACATGTTCCAACACTTGGGTCTGTATAAATGAGATAACCAGTATTGCCGAAACTACAAGCATCGTCGTTACGACCTTGACTTAGGTAAAAAGAATTCATGACATATGACGCATGGTCTAATAAAGTATTAGGGTAATAACAAATTCCACGAGGTTGGATCGCTTTACATTCGACACGAGTGCATGCATAATTAATGTTGGCTTGTAACTGTTCAGGTGTGGAACTAGGCATCGCCACGCACCATGGTTCGCAAATCACGACATGGAGGTGGTTGATAGCGACAATAGATAGGAGGAGAAAAAACGTCAAAAGTTGTGACGACATTATAAATAAAATGTAGATAAGAATCAAGAACTTTTGTGGTGTGTGTATTTTCTTGTGCAAGCTAGTACATGTCTATATATATAATACATGCAAAATGATTTTATCCAACTCTATATGCTTTTATTTGTTTTGGGAAAGAGATTTGAGAAGAGGGAATTAAAAGATGTAATAAATCAATAAAGCACTTACATCTCACTCTCTATAAATGATTCCATTTTAAAGATTATGATATTTTCCTTATTTTAGTTTTTTTTAAGATTTATTGTTTTATCATAC